AATTTTGGTTAAAATGTATGCACTGTTGGGACTTCCCCCCCTTTATTACCTATAACCTCAGTTTAATAGACTGCGTAGTTCTGTTGTGATAATCTGAAGTGCCATTTAATCAAATCGAGTCTTAGGAGCAGTAGAAGGGCACTAAACTTGAATGTGGTTCTGACATTGGCAGTGAAACTTCGTGAACTAATCTTTTGTCTTTGCTGTTACTTCGTTTGTAAAGCTGAAGAATAAAATCAGTGTAAGAGAATGTGTTCCATAAGAATATAAGCTCTCTAAATGACATTTGAAACCCGTGCTATTTCAATGAACAATTTCCTAAATGCTTTTTAATTCTTAAAGATATACTCACATATGGGACATTTACTTTTCAGTAGGTTTCTGTCACCTTTACATGAAAAAAAAGGACTTAGTATTCATCAGCAAGAACGGTTACATGATTTATAAATTTTTGCTCATTATCAAGACATAACTGAGATTTTTGAAGCTTATTTATAGTTATTTCTGAGTCCACTCTAATGTACCAAAATTGTTGTCTTGAAGGGCCAGAAGCATGGATTTTAAATTGCTCATTGTTCTTGTTTTCCTCCATTTTTGCCCTGTAGCATTGGTTGACATTTCATAGAGACTGAGTTGGCACAGGGTCGGAAAATACGTAATTATAAGAATCACCTACTCTCGAATTTCCCATTATATGCTAGTCATGAGTCAGGCAGACTTTTCATAGGTGTTTGGTTTGGAATGAGAAGTTTTCTTCTTCCGTGACCTGTGATTAAACAGTGGCATTTTGGTATATTAAAAGAAGATAGTTTCTGCATAATCCAGCTGTGAATCAGAGCTGGTGAAGCGGTGTAAATCTTTGACTTGTATCATATAAGTAGTAGTATAGGTAATTGAAAATATATTTTAAGATTAAGTACAATACCCCTCCCCTGTTTATTACTCTGTAGCATAAAGCGGGCTAAGTAAAATGTAGCAAGATTCATATTAAGAGAAGCTTTGCTTCACGTAATGCTCCTCAATGGAATTGCAATAAAAAGAAATCCACTGCAGCTACATTTGAATAATTTCTTTTCTTTAATGAGCTATAACCATGAATGTAAATATTTATCAGTTGCTGTAGCATGATGGTAAGGAGAGGAGAGAGATTGTATTTCTCCATAATTGAAAATAAAACTTTCCTTTACAATAGTGTCGGATAATGGCCTTACCTGTTGCATTAACTTTTAAAAATCTTTATGGTTTAAGTGCAATCTTTAATTAACTGACTGGAATTGTGCACCCAACTCCTGACGATAGTTTGTGTTCTTTCTTAGTTACTGCAGTAACTGATACATTTTCCCATTTATAGTTTAGTTTGTGTACTAAAATCTTGTAAAGATACTATCTGTGTTATTCCTCTGTACTGTAAATATAAATGCTGTTATTCCAAAGTTGTGTTTATTGTTGTATTACAACAAGATTGCATTTGCTAGAACACTTTGCTTGTCACTTGGGAGATCAAACACATTAATTTCCCCACAAACTCTTTATAACTTTGGATACCTATACCTTTAGTTGATTTGATATTAGAATGATTGGCTAGAACCAAGATGTCATCTTTTATCTTAAATTTTGAAATGTTTTATATTAATAAGATATTAAAGATACTTCAGTTGAACTTATGAATTCTAAGATATTTTAGATTTCAAGGTATCACCAGGATGATTTTAAATGGCATATTTGTTAAAGAGATTCAGACATTAATTTTATATTCTATTAATTTTTGTATATATTCTACTATATCACTGTATGTTCATTGTCTATATTCTATGCCCAAAGTGGTTTTTTTTTCGCTCCCCATACAGTGTCTCTGTAATGTTTTTACCATTCTTCTAAAGCTACATTCTACCCGCTCAAGGGTGGGTGATCTTCCTGCGAAGTCTTTCCCCCTCCTGACACAAAGTTTGGCATGTGAAAAACACTCAAGTGTTAGTTAAAATTTGAAAAAATAACTTCCTGTTTTCTCTCTGTGAAGTTGAACTAGCCAGAATCTATTCACTGTACTATCTCCTTCTTTGACCCCACATCTTCCTTTCTATATGTAGCCCGAAAAGTTTTGGTTTTCAGTTATTTAAGTTTTCCCTTTCTTTACTCTTTCACTTAGAAAAATCTCAACCACTGTCTCCAAGTGAGTAATGCCATTCTTTTTCTCCAGGCCAGAGTTCCCATTGAACTTCAGTCAATCTTTAATTAATCTCCCAGACATTTCCATTTCGGTACCTGGCAATTTCTCAAACAACCAAACTCAGGATGTTCCTTCTCAATAGTATCTTCTAACTGTGTTTTCTTATTTTGCTCACATTGTTACATTTTTCACAGTCACTATTCATTTGTATCTTTTTAAATTTTATTTATTTATTTTTAGGTTTTTGCTATAGGCACATGCATTTGCAGAAGAGAGACAGAGAGAGGGAAAGTGAGAAATCACTCTCCAGGGCAGGATGGCCATGAGGCAATCTCTTCTCTATTTTCCTCTTGAGATTTTGGGCATGCATGCACAGACACCTGGTATGATTTTCAAGACTCTGGGTCCAGGACTTGAACCACAGGCAGCTGTGTGGGAGTCCAGAGGATGCTACCTGCTGCACCCCATTTTTATGTAAATGTATATATTAAATGTTTTTGCATCTCTCAGAAAATGTTCTGAGTTGTTTTTCCTTTCCCTTATCAATGTTTATGAATCCTTCTCAGTGTGCCGCAAATAGACCCTCTTCAAGACATCTTGGACTGTAAAGTACTGCCAGAGTTTGCCTCTTAAACTGCCAGTCTCTTTATGAATCTCCTTTTACCTAAAACTTCCAAGAGCAACCTATTTAAGTGGTTCTCAAAAATTTATTTTTCTAGAAGAATTTGGTTAATTCTTACTTGAGACCCAAACAAATAAAACATTAACTTCAGAGCTGTTTCAAATGAAAATAATTAAAACCTCTTCTACTTGGGCTTTACCTAAAAGATAACTTCTGGTCACTTCCATAATTTGGGGGGCATTGTAGAATTCAGTTTGAAACCCTTTGGCTTAAGCACAATATTCTTCCTTATTTAGGATTAGGCCCTGTTCTATTCAAACAATTTGTTTACTATGTCCAGTTGTTCCATGTGAATTCCATCTTCCTGTGTTGATTTCTATAATGCTTAGTGCCCAGAATGCTGTTAGACCAATTTTCTGCTTAAATACCATTTATATTTCCAAATGCAGCTAAAGTTTTGCCTCCTCATTGAACATATGAATGAATATTTAGGACATAAAAGTTACATGTATTTTCTCATAATCTATTATATATCTTGAGAGAGTACTACTTTTTTTTTCTCTCTCTTTTTTGGAAATTACTGCTATTCTGAATATACTTATTAGGTAAACATATGTCACCATTTTATACTTATCACATTTTTAAAGCCCTGAGCTGATTGATTTTAAGCATTCCAAATGACTGGGTACAAGATTTTTTTGTTTTTAATTTTATACATTAAAAGCATAAACTTAATATTTATATGACCAAAAAAATTATTTTAAACACACTTCATTATAATCTTTACATTTGTTTTCTCTCAGGACCTGCTGCGTACAATCCTGTTTTAAGGAAATCTTGCCCTATACCTGTATTTGTTAGAACATCAAAGCGGTTTGAAGATTCCAGAGAGATTACTCCTGGTCCAGCAGCATATGAGGTTTGTCGATGATATTTCTCTCTTATAAGTGACAGAAGAATAGAACGCTTTCCATGGAGTACTGAAAATGTACACATTTAAATCCTTTCCATATATTTTATTCCTATTATTGATTAATCAAAATCTATTTGCTAAGAAATACAGTCATGAAGACATACGCTGCCACTTTAAAAAAGAATATGGCATATTTAATTTGATACTTTATATATATTATATCCTCTTCAGCATTTATAGATTTAATTTAATTACATTCCTGAAACTTTTAAAAGTTTACTTGTGTGTATATAAATATATCTTGAACTCTAGTGTTTATTGAAATTGTGAGTTTTTTAGAGGACTGAAGAAAAAGCCCTATGGATTTAATAAGATTTAATAAATCAAGTATTGATATTTTATTTTCTTTTTAATAAGCATGGATGCTGTGGTTTAGATACATACCAAATGAATGTCTCTTTTAAGCTGTGGATTTTCTGATGATAAGGAGTAAACCTGCAGGGTATTAGAGGTTGTGTTCATAGTGGACCTTTTTATTCCCTCCTTTAAGAGTTAGAGACTAGTGGATGGCATAATGGTTACGTCACTGGACTCCCATGTAGTTGACCATGGTTTGAGTCCCAGACCTGGTAGCTTGAAACTCACGCTAGGCGCATGTGTGTGTGTGCCCAAAGTCCTGAGAGGAGAATGGAGGAGAAGGGATTGCAGGGTAGCCATCCCTTCTGGGAGGTGATTTATTGCTTTCTGTCTCTCTTTCTTGCTCTGTCTCTCCAGCAAGCACATGTGCCTATAGCAAAAATCTCTCTTTAAAAAAAAAAAAAAAAGAGTTAGGATCAAATAGGGCCCCTCATTCCAACCCTACTATTTAAAATGAAATATTTATACGAACTTATAGCAGTTAACTTAAGGGTTAATTCTGAGTGCAAATTAAAATGAATGTTCTTGTTAGGGTTAGTTAATAACAGTCTATTTTTATTGAATGAATGTTTTTCTATTTATTTAAAATGTCAGACTCTAAATAATTTTTTAGCATCTGTCAAAGACAGCTTTATAATATACTATTGGGAAATAGAAAGAAAAGAAAATGAAAAACCGAAGATTATTTTATTTGTTGGTTGTTGATTCCTCCAAAGATGGCCACTAATTCCTTGTGATTAAGCAAAACTAACTTTATTAGGCCTACTTTAGAAAGGGACAATCTGCCAAAGAGTTTTAGTAAAGTAAAAATAAGGTGAGGTCAAAGGAGTATATTTATAAGGTTTTAGAATCTGGGCTGGGTGATTTAAGGCAAGTCTTGCAAACAAGGACTTGGTTGGGATTGGGCAAAGGTTATAGTGTTATTTACTTTGGGTTGGTGGGCACAGTGAGGAAGGCGTTTGAAACAAGTATTGATGATTAAGCTACTAGTCTTAGTAAGCTGAGTATTTTTGTTGTTCATAGTCTGATCATATTAAATCATATTAAATCTTAAGATGACCACTTTTTCCTCCTCTTAACAACAGACTTTCATGGTATCTAAAAATAATAAATGCCAGCAAGTCTATAGTATTTTTCATTTTGCAATGTGTTTTTCTTAAAGGATATATCTCTAGTCTATGTATCAATAGCATTTAAAGATGTTCTTGCTTTTTTTAAACCAATATTTTACAAATGTGTTATTATATTTATGCTTTGCCATAGTAATTTATTATGGAAAATTGTTTGTCATGTCAAGAAAAAGCACTTAGAGATTTAATAATGATATTTATTATGATATTGCCTGATATTTTATACTAATACATTTTAAAATGCAAGGTAACTTTTCTATACATAATTAAGACTGTAAGTTTTGTTTTTGTCTTCTCCACACCATTTGTTTCTTTTAATTGAAAATATTTTTGACAAATAATTTTCTTTCACAATCTTCCTTCTTTTAAGAAAAACTACTTTTTGAAAAGAATTATTTTGGAACCAGCAGTTGGTGTATTGGCTATGTCGCTTGACTCCCATGTAGTTGACTGTGGTTTGAGTTCCAGACCCAGTGGCTTAAACTCATGCTGGGTGTGTGTGCATGTGTGCCCAAGATCCCAAGAGGAGAATGGAGAAGGGATTGCAGAGTGGCCATCACCCCGGGGGGTGGGGAGTGATTTCTCCCTTTCTATCTCTCGGTCTCTCTCTGACTTTCTGGCGAACACACGTGCCCTATAGCAAAAACCTCTCTTAAAAATAAAAAAATTACTTTGTGTTTATTTATTTATTTTTTTGCTGGACCAGAGATGGAGAGAGAGAGAAACTGAGAAAGCAAGTCACCAGGTCTGGGACTCAAACCACAGTCAGCTGTGTGGGGAGTCCAGCACCCTTAACCATCATGCCACCTGTCAGCCCCAAGAAAAACTACTTTTAAGACAATAAGCTGATATACTCCTGGATCCCTTTATTATAACTTTCTCATATATTTTGACATGTCCTTCCGTGACTAAAAAGTTTAAGTTGATGCTCCTTTGAGTCTATTTGCCTTCCAAACTTTATTATTATTATTTTTTACAAAAAGAGATGGTTCAAGAAATTTATGATGATTTAACATTGAAATTGGATTCTACTTGGAAAGTACTTGAATGTGGAAGCTCTCTGCCACCCAATAGTTAAACATTTTCAGTGTTTCCTCCCCACTGTCCAATGCTAGTGGTCTTTACAGTGATATTTGTAAATAACTAGAGCTCTCTTAAATTGCACACGCATTCGCAAAGTCTGCTTGCCATTTTCATTTGTTGGTGAATTCTCTTTTATCATAAGCAGAATGAGTTTTCTCCTCTTTTTTTTTTTTTTTGAGGGGTTGTCAGAGCTGTTATTAGAATAAGTCCTTTCTTTGTCCATTTTATTTCAAATACTAGCTAATCTGATTTTTTCCTTTGTTCCTCCTTGCTTTGACATTTTTTTGGTTTAATGTTTACTGATCCTTTGGAAGATCTAATGAAAGCTAAGAGCAAAAATGCACGTATGCTCATAACTGCATGCAATTTTAGAATGCTTATTAATTTACAAAAGCTCACTTATGATTCTAATCAAGAACTCCCAATATTACATGCAGAGCTCCAAGGGCAAAGATCATTTCATTTTATGTTATTTCAGTTTCAACTGTAGAGTCTGTAGTATATCAAAAATATTTATTGAATAGATGAACAAAATAAATCATCTTTAGGTATTCTTTTCATAAATCACTAATCTTTACCTATAAATAAAGTTTTTCTAATTAGTTCCCAGTGAAAATTATATTTAAATATATATTTCTTTTAAAGTAGCAGTTAAGTTTTATGGTTTCATTCCCATTCTCTTGTTGAATAAGTCTTCTGACTAAAAATATGTTTTTGAGATTTAGAAAAAGATTCACAATAATATGCAGAAATTTAAACTAGACAATTATTATGTGAGAATGTAAAGAAAGTCAAATAGAAACTTCAAGGAATTTAACTTTATAAAATCCTTTATTTAGGGGTCAGTAGGTGGCATAGTGGGTGTGGCACTGGACTCCCACATGACTGACTATAGTTCTAGCCCTAGACCCAATGGCTTGAAACTCCCAATCAGAGCATGTGTGTGCATGCCCAAAATCCTGAAAGGAAAGTGGAGAAGAAGGGATTAGGGCATGGCCAGCTCCACTGCTGGGGGCAATTTCTCACTTTCTCTCTCCGTATCTCCAGTGGGGACATGCACTCTATAGCAAAAGTTCTTCTCTGAAAAAAAAGAGTTAATTTAAGTATTATACAAAAATTTAAATACATCTTAAAAAATGTACAGTAGAGCTTCCTCAGCCGGCGCTCACCGAGGAGCAGGCATGTTCAGCTCGAGCGCCAAGATCGTGAAGCCCAATGGCGAGAAGCTGGATGAGTTCGAGTGGGGCATCTCCTAGGCCCTGTTGGAGCTGGAGATGAACTCGGACCTGAAGGCACAGCTCAGGGAGCTGAACATCACGGCGTCCCAGGAAATTGAAGTTGGTGGTGGTCGGATAATCATTGTTCCTGTCCCTCAACTAAAGTCCTTCTAGAAGATCCAAGGGCAGCTCATTCGCGAGCTGGAGAAGAAGTTCAGTGGGAAGCACATGGTCTTTATTGCTCAGAGGAGAATTCTGCTTAAGCCAACTCAAAAAAGCCATCTGAAAAATAAGCAAAAGTGTCCCAGAAGCCGCACCCTGACCGCCGTGCACGACGCCATCCTGGAGGACCAAGGTCCACCTGGACAAAGCCCAGCAGAAAAACGTGGAGCACAAGGTTGAAACTTTCTCTGGTATCTATAAGAAGCTCATGGGCAAGGATGTTAACTTTGAATTCCGAGTTTCAGTTGTGAAGAAAATGACTAAATAAAGTACCCTTACAGTAAAAAATAAAATAAAATAAAATAAAATAAAATAAAAAGAAGAAAATGCACAGTAGAACAAATTTAGCATAGTTAATTTTACTTAAACTTTCATTCAAATATTACAGAAATTAATAAATACACAAAAAGCAAGTTCTACAAAAATTAAATGAAAGATCATAAAAGCAGTTTATTTAAAGTATTTTGTTATCAGATTCCTTATTATTTAAAAAGCCTTTAATTCTAGGTGATTTTGAAGAGCTAATTAGTAGGTATTGTTTATTTGGAAATTACAGAATAGAATAATTTTGTACAATAGGGGAAAAATACATTAACATACATGTGATATAATTATATTTTTATCAAAAACTAAACATTTGGGGAACCAGCAGATGGTGTAGCGGTTATGTTGCTGGACTCCCACATGGCCAACTGCAGTTCACGTCTTGGATCCTGTGACTTGAAACTCATGCCAGGCATTTGTGCATGCACACCCAAGATCCCAGGAGGAGAATGGAGGAGAAAGGATTGTGATGTGGCCATCCCACTGCGATTTGAGTTCTCACTTTCCTTCTCACTGTTTCTGTCTCTTTCTTTCTCTGGCAAGTGAACGTGCCCTATGGTACAAACCTCAAACAAACAAACAAACAAATAAATAAATAAATATTTTCCCTCCC